ATGATACACGTTATGACTGCCATGGCTGAGAGATGAGGTCCGTCGCCTAGAGTAATGACTGGAAAGTTCCTGACTACCAAATGACTTTTTAAACATTTTTTGACCATTTGAGTTGACCATCCGGTAACTTGCTCCAGTAGTTCAGCATTTGTTGAAGCAATGACCGCCCATGGGCACAAAACTTTGAGTAACGCCTGCAGGCCATGTAATATGGGAGAGGCGCTCGTGAATTAGAGATGGGAGGAAGCACGAGGATGTGATTCAGAATTTGGCATCTGGACGAGCTCCTGTATCCATCCACGCAGCCGAGAACCACAACTGTTCTCATCGATTAAAGTGATAACGACATTGAAGGATTCAAGATAACGTTAAGTTGCTCCATATCTTAAGCTGAGACTCAATTTTAACATAACCCTAGGTATCCGTGCCGTTTGGCAGAATCTGACCCATACTACCGTAAACTACACAGAAAGATAACATAACCATGTTTGACGCCTTCCGCTTCACATCATGCAATGATCAAATCTCATATTATCTCTAGTAGATAATGTGATAAATTTTAAATCATAATCAAAAAATTGAAGCAAAATCCTCAAAGTTTAATAGAGAAACGAATAACGAACAGCACAGCCTGAAAACGATATTCAACCTAAAAACAACTACAACGAATATCTGAACAAACAGAACCAGAAATAATAATAACATACGCAAGTTTAAAGCGACAGACAATTTGTCTATTCTCCTTTGTAATGAGGACGTCGCTTTTCCTTAAAAGCCTGAAGACCTTCGAGTCTATCCTTGAGTGGAATGATCTGAGCATAGCAGTGTTCTTCCATTGCTAAGCCTGTGTCCAGATCGACGTCAACGCCCTTCAGAAGCGCCAGTTTCGCAAACTTCACAGACTTTGGTGCCTGAGGCAGTATTTCCTCCACCAGCTGCACTGCTCTGACGAACGCCGCATCACCTGTCTCGTTCTGCTCGACGACATGGTTCACCAACCCAATGCGATAAGCCTCGACACCGTCGATCACCCGAGCGGTGAATATGAGTTCTTTGGCCATCGCCCGACCGACTAGTCGAGGTAGGCGCTGAGTGCCTCCCAGTGCAGGTAACACAGCGACTCTGGTCTCGATCAAACCCATCTGGGCGTCCTTTGACGCAGTGCGAATGTCACAAGCTAAGGCAAATTCCAGACCGCCCCCAAGAGCTGCACCGTCCATGGCAGCTATTACCGGCAGTGGCAGACTTTCCAGGTCTGTTAACAATCTACAAAAAAATTACATTTAATCAGATAATCTTGGTACATGCACTACAACTGCCTAACATATATACAGCAGTTACTAGACATAAGTTTATGGTGATACCAATGACGGGTGGTGCCTCAGGTGGAGAGGCCAATCTAATTCCTATTTTTCTAAGATGCACAAATGTGTGCTGTGTTTCAATTTACGAGTCAGTTCCATTACACGATTATAAGAGGACCGTCCTTTCGCAAACCGACTGTCGTTCTCAACGCTCCGCTCGACTATGGTTTCCAGAATAAGATTATACAACTCTTAAACGGTCATCCTCTGAAACTGACCTACAGTGCTCTCTGGAAAGACTCGCAGCTGAGTGCCGCGTGACCGTCTTACGTGTGAACGCATCTAAAACGCAAAATCCGTTGCTCTCTTCAAATTAACGGAGAAACAGTAGAGCAAATAGAGGAGTTTAACTACCTCGGTTTCGTGTTTACTGGTAATGGAACATTTGAGAAGGATATCGAATGGCAGTTCAGAGCAGCCAGCGGAGTTCTACGTGACCTTGCCATAACCGTCCTGAATAAAAATGAGCTAATTAAGATCTCGGTATTTAGGTCAATCTTCATGTCCATACGTACTTAGGGTCAATAGTGGTGGACCAGGACTGAAAAACTTCGATCCCAGACACAAGCGGCTGAAATGGGCTTTCTGAGACGAATCGCTAGCCTTACGCGATAGACATGGTCTGGAATAGTGACATCCGGAAGAGCCTTTGCTTCTCAAGATGGAAGAAGTCACAGCTGCGATGGTTTGGCCATGTGTTACGAATGCTTCCAGAGGGGAAGGTCAATCAACTCTTTCTTGTCAAACCGACCGGCAGAAGGCCCAGGGGACAGTCAAGATTGACCTTGCGCAAATATATGGAAGGAGTTTGTTCCACATTACAGCTGTCTTCTGCCAAAGCTCAGGCACTGGCACAAGATCAGAACGTTTTAAGCACTGTCCAATGTGTCTGCCTCCGCAACCTGAAAGGAAAAGCAGTAATGGAACAAGAATGAATGAATGAATTCTCAGACGAAGCTGACTTTGATGAGGTGGATAAAAATTATATCGAGGGCGTTTTAGCCTTTACCTTCCAATAGCAATTAACTAACAG